TGAGTCGTTCGGGGCCCTCGTCCTGGTGTGAGTCGTTCGGGCTCCTCGTGGTGTGAGTCGTTCGGGCGCCTCGTCCTGGTGTGAGTCGTTCGGGCCCCTCCTCCTGGTGTGAGTCGTTCGGGCTCTTCGTGGTGTGAGTCGTTCGGGCCCCCGTCCTGGTGTGAGTCGTTCGGGCTCCTCGTGGTGTGAGGCGTTCGGGCACCTCGTCCTGGTGCGAGTCGTTCGGGCCCCTCGTAGTAGTAGTAGTAGTAGTAGTAGTAGTAGTAGTAGTAGTAGTAGTAGTAGTAGTAGTAGTAGTAGTAGTAGTAGTAGTAGTAGTAGTAGTAGTAGTAGTAGTAGTAGTAGTAGTAGTAGTAGTAGCAGTAGTAGTAGTAGTAGTAGTAGTAGTAGTAGTAGTAGTAGTAGTAGTAGTAGTAGTAGTAGTAGTAGTAGTAGTAGTAGTAGTAGTAGTAGTAGTAGTAGTAGTATAGTAGTAGCGTAGTAGTCGTAGTAGTAGTAGTAGTAGTAGTAGTAGTAGTAGTCAGTAGTAGTAGTAGTAGTAGTAGTAGTAGTAGTAGTAGGTAGTAGTAGTAGTCGTTAAGCAGTAGTAGTGGTAGTAGAAGTAGTAGTTGTAGTAGTAGAGTAGTAGTCGTAGCAGCAGCAGTAGCAGTAGCAGTAGTAGTAGTAGTAGTAGTAGTAGTAGTAGTAGTAGTAGTAGTAGTAGTAGTAGGAGTAGTAGTAGTAGTAGTCGTAGTAGTAGTAGTAGTAGTAGTAGTAGTAGTAGTAGTAGTAGTAGTAGTAGTAGTAGTAGTAGTGGGAATAGTAGTAGTAGTAGGAGGAGTAGTCGTATCCAAGGCAATAGGGAGGCCTCTTGGAGGCCGTTTTGGGGCCTCTTGGGCTCTCTTTTGAGCCTCTGGGGAACGTCCGAAGGCTCTCAGGGTCGCCTCTTGGAGCGTCTTGGGGGCCTGGTGAGGCCATCTTGGGGGCGATCGGTCGCAGATGGGGCGAGTATTTTTCAGTGTCCCCCCCTCTGGGGGCGACGATCCTCGTGAGGGGTGTCGAATTTTAGCCCTCCCAGGGATAGAAAATGGACCCTCTGACCACCCGCGGAAGGCCCCCTCCAGGTCCAGGGGGAGGGGGTAGGGGGAGGGGTAAACCCCTCCCCGAAGGGGAAGAAGGGGGGTTGAGAACAGAGCGGACTCCCTAAACCACTCACGCCCAAAGGGCTGGTGGGATTAGTGAGTAGTGAGTCGTGAGTAGTGAGTAGTGAGTCGCGACTTGCGACTAGTGACTAGTGAGTAAGGAGTAGGGAGTAGTGAGTAGCGAATAGTGCGTAGTGGGTAGTGAATGTGTCGTACTGGGTAGCGAGTAGCTGATAGTGATTTGTGGGCAGGGCGTAGTGAGTAGTGAATGCGAGTTCTCCGTAGTAAGTAGTGGATCGTGGTTATTGTGTCCGAGTATTGCTCAGTGAGTAGTCAGTTGTGGGCAGTTAGTATTGTTTAGTGAGTAGTGAGTATTGAGTACGGGGTCGCGAGTTGGGAGTAGGGAGTAGGAACCAGTGAATAGTGAGCAATGGGAGCGTAGTGAGGAGTGAGTAGTAGGTAGTGCGAGTAGGGAGTAGCGAGTAGTGCGAATAGTGCGTAATCGGTAGCGGGTAGGGCGTTGGGAGTAGTGAGCAGTGAGTAGTGAGTACTGTGTAGGGAGTAGCGAGTAGTGGATAGTGAGTAGTGAGTTGTGGGCAGTCATTACTAAGTAGTTGAATGTGAGTAGTTGTTGGTGGGTAGTTGGGACTGATGTGTGATCAGTGAGTAGTAGGTAGAGTGTTGTGTTTATTGAGTAGTGAGCATTGAGTAGTGGTTCGTGGGTAGTGAGCAGTTTGTAGTGAATGGTGAGTAGTGAGCAGGGAGTAGGGAGTAGTGAGTAGTGCGTCGTGGGTAGTGAGTCGTGGGTGGTGAGTAGTGAGTTGCGAGTAGTGAGTAGTGAGTACTGATAAGTGAGTAGTGAGTAGCGGGTGGTGATTTGTGGGTAGTGAGTAGTGCGTAATGAGTAGTGAATGTTTTTGGGGGTTAGGGTTAGGGGTCAGGGCAAGGGTGAGGATTAGTGTTCGGGGTGGTACGGGTCGGGTTCCGGAGACCGGGGCGTCGTGGCGACAGGGGGAAGGGGGGGGGGTCGAATTTGGCGGCCAAAAGGGTGAAGGGGGGTGGGGGGTTCGGACCCCCCCCCCTTTTGGAAAAAGGGGGGGGGTTTGAAAGGGGGGGGAGGGGGGAGGGGTCCCCGACGACGGATCGGAAAAGGGGGGGAGGGGGGGGGGTCCTGACACGACGGATCGGGGGGGGGGGGGGTCCCATACCCCACCCCCTTGGGGCACATCCAGCGGCGCGCCTCATTATTACTACTTACTACTCACTACTAGTACTACTACTACTACTACTACTACTACTACTACTACTACTACTACTACTACTATTACTACTACCAGTAGTACTACTACTACTACTACTACGACTACTACTACTACTACTACTACTACTACTACTACTACTACTACTACGACTACTACTAATA